TAGCCAAGCATAGGAGGATTTTTGTCCCAGGAATGTATGAGTAGTTTGCAGTTTCTAGTGAACTGTTAGCACATCCTTTTGCTGTTGTGGTGGACTGTAATACCTGCAGAGTTTTTGTGAGAGAGGGGCCAGGCAGTGCTACAGTTCCTTTTCAGCCTGTTCAGCATCAGGTTGCACTTTGGGCTTACATCGAAACGAGATCTGCCTGAATGGGGTCATTACACTGAGTGCATTTGTGCTGAGCACTACTCCTGTCAGCCTCTTCCAGCGAAGTGTGCTACATCAGTCACAGTGAACAGCTCTGCACAGAGAAACACTTTTTACCTTCCTCAGATCTCTGACTCTGTCTCTGTTGATAGTCACTCCCATCAGAATGCCCTTCTCCTCCTGCACTGCTGCCACAGGCCACCCCTTGGCTATCACTTGTGCCTGGCATGGGACGGGCATGCATATCTGCTCAGCAGATCTGTTGGTATATGTTGGTAAAGAGAGGTAAAGAATAGCTGCACAGAGGCAGCCTTCAGTGGTGCTGTGGATGATTGGGGAATATTCACTCAGTATTAAAGGGTACCACATGAAAACATAAGGGAGGTCTGCAGTAAGGATCAGGTAAGCCTGATTATGAAAAAGAAAGTACGTTTGGAGTTCTGGGTAACTGGATAATTAGAGCGTATTTTATTAATAGATTGGTGTACCGGTGTAAATATCTGTGATTTGTCTTAAGCTGATAATGAATACGTTGTATATTACTTTTATTTAGAAGGTATTGAAGTCTTAGGCTTTAGTAATTGATTTATCAGTATGGAGTGCTTTTTGTTACTCCATTAATTTACTCTGTTGTGATTTTGGCTTTGCTCAGTCATTCATTTAGAAACTTGTCATTAAAAAAATCAGAGGCTCAAATGCATAATTAAATAAATTTTCAAACACAGGCAAATGACAAATGCATACACTATCCTGTATGCCAAAAGTCTGCTTTAGTAAATTTTGTATGCAATAGGCTACCTGTAGTTAATCCAGAGTTTCTGTAGCACAGGCAGTGGGCTCCTGGCATCTGCCTGTGGCCAGAGCTTTTGGGCAAGTGGCAATTCATGCCTGAGAAGAGCTGCCTGTTGCTTATAGGATCAGGTTGGGTGTGAACAACTACTGAAAACTTTTTCTTTAAACAAGGGGTTTTCTAAAGCTTCCTGCTACATTTGGCACAACTCAGATATTGCAAGCTGTGAACCAGATTGTGTTACTCTTATGTAGGTCAAGTAGTAACTTGTCTACACAGTGGGGTTGTCTCTCAGAGGGAAGCTCAAGGTTAAGTATAAAATGAGCTGTCTCGTCTGCACAGTGCAGGGTAAGGACACATCAAATGCCTTCTCTGGCCCATGACTCAAACATACCCGAAAAGTCCTGCTAACTCTGTTTCTCAGTGCTCTGTGTTCACAGCCTGGATTGTTCAGGTTCTTTTCCCATGTTTTTTCTTTCTTTTGCATAGGATGCCTATGAATGCACATGGAAAAAGAATAAGTAAAAACTCCTGTTTGTGAAATTCTGCTTTTTGTCCAATTCAGCAAGGAATTTATCCTCTTGTCATAAAAATTACTATTTTTCTATCTAGGCCATATTTATTACTTTTCATAGCTTAACTGAGTTCTGTAGTTATAATAGTACAGTGGGAGGAAACTACATTTCTTAAGCCAAGCATAATTATTCACTCTTCTGGTACTTTAAGAAAGACCTTATTGGCAAGGAAGTCAAACAGTAGTCTTTGACAGTTGCTCTGCACAAATGTAAATGGCATGGGAAAAAACAAGAAAAACCAGCTCCCATATTTTTCATTCTTTGATTGGGGCATGCATAGTAGCTCTTAACACAGAGGAGAAGAAACCTGCACAAGAGAGGACACAAGATTCTCTGTGCAGATAACCATTCCTTTCCCCAGTCCCTGGGACATGCCCTGGAAATGTCATTCCCAAGCAACTGTACAACTTTACCTTCCAAAAACTTTTGTTCCATTTTGAGGTAATCAGTTTGTGACTCCATATTTTCATTTCACATTTATCTTCTTTAGTTTCATTAAGCTTCTGAGGTAATCAGTTTGTGACTTCATATTTTCATTTCACATTTATCTTCCTAAGTTCCATTAAGCTTTTAATTTTTTGAGATCGTCTTCACTTTAATTTTTAGTGACATTTTCATTACTGTATTAATTGCTCTTAAAATGCAGGATGAAGAAATACTTCCCTTGCCTTAAGAGCTCCTGCCCTGAAGGGTTTTATCTTAACAGATACCTTAAATGATGCTTAGCTGAAGGTTTCCATAATGACAAGTCAGAGAGCAACACTCAGATTTTGATTCTTACAATATAAATATATTTTTCTGCTTCTCCTCTAAGACTACTAAATAAAAAAGTCTGTAATTACAGCAGCTCTCAAACAGAAGAGAAAGTCTTTTATCTAGATGTCATGCCACTTCATACTAAATCTGTCACTACCAGATTCCTGCTGTCCCTTATGTGTCCAGGATTATAAGGCTTCATGATTAATAGGAAGAAGAGCAGTTTCTCCTCACCTCATAGTTAAACTACGCTCAGTGTAGAAGATGCTTCTGAAACAGGTTTTTTTGTCTCCAAACCGACTGGGGCTGTCACACAAGAAGAGACAGGTGGGGTTTTACTACGTACATGTGTTGCTTGTGTTTCAAGGGGATGTATCACACCTAGGCTGAGAGGGTCACAAAGTGACAGGTTGACATCTAAACTGGTTTCTTAAGAAAATTCGGTTTGCACAACAAGCATCAGAGTTGCTGTCTGCCCTCTTCCTATAGCTTTGAATCTACTGTTCAGGTTGAGTTAAATTTGAACTTAAGTTTATAAAACTTAATGAAAACAGGCAGCAGAGGATATCCATGTTTTCCTAGAGAGGGAGAGGAGCCCTGCCTCTATCATGTATTAGGGAGTGCCCGTGAGGAAAAGCTTCAGAAGCAACAAAAACTTCGATCAGTGCTTTGAGAAGCCAACGACTGCAAGACACAACAGCTTGGGAAGGCAGCGTTCATTGCTGCGCTGTAAGCACATGTCTGGGTGGCTTCAGTGCAGCCCGTGGCTGGAGCCTGTTCCCTGCGGGCAGGGCCGGCTCCCTGCGCCCCCCGTGCGCCCCTGCTCGCAGGGAGACGCTGCCGCTAAGGCGGACCTGGTGCTTCGTTTGGCACTCCGGCTGGGTGGTCATCTGTGCAAGTGGTGTTTGACAAAACCCATCAGTGCCCCTGCCTTCCTCCCTAGCTCTACATGAGGAACCACTTAGGCAGAAGGGTGATCTCTTAATTCACGGGGATGGGACAGACGCGCTGCAGGCACTCCTGTTGCAAGGAGAGTTGCTCATGCAGATGCAATCCTGGCAGCTTCTGGTGTGCAGTGAGGACCCTTTCATCTCTACTTTTAATAGAATGGATAAAGTGGAATGCTAATAATGGGACTGATAAATGAAAGGAAAACTGTAACCACATAATTATGTCAGAATCAACTAACAGCCATGAAAAGCTGATTAAACCACATTATGCAGATAGATGTAACAGAGTACTATTAGCAAGTCCACTGCAATGGCATGCCTGGCAATTAAGAGAGCTGTACTGGCAGCACCCAGTGAAAACAGTGCTAATGTATAGTTAAAAATATTTTGAGACAAATAGTGCCCAGACTATGGGGACAGCCTAGAGATGAATAAAGAAGCATCCTCAAAGATACCAGCATCCAGGGGAAAAATTAAAGATGTTATTCCAAATAGATTCTTCAGCTAGGATGTTGGTCATATTTATATTTAGCATCAAAATTAATTTACTGACTTATCCAGAAATGAAAGGCTGCAGTGCAGTATGTCTGTTTTTCCAACTCTCTGCAAATTTCAGGTTGTGCAGACTAACAGATTAAAGAAGCTTGCAGAAATATTCTGATTTAGATAGCAATAATATTAGGTCTTGTTCCTGTGGTTACAACTGTTTGGCAAATATTTAGGAATGAGATAGCTCAGCCTTGTGTATTCTTAGGGATGTGGTATTTCCAGGTTGGGGACATAAAGAATGTGTCACCCATAGAATTTCCTTCTCACTGGAGTATTGTGCTCACCCACTACAGAAGGAGTCAAGGTTCCAATTCTATCCCTCGCTTTCCCTCTGCCCACTCCTGCAGAGTGGTTCTCATCTGCAGTCAGGGAATTGCACTTGAACAAGCTCTGAGATATCATCATTGTGGGGTTCAGAGTTTCTCAGGCATTACAGAAAGATACTCTTTTACCAGAAACTAGTCCGTGTAACTGTGGAGATCTCATCTAAGGGAATAACATCAGTGGGAAGGAATATATTGGAGTGAAAGGCTAAGCATGCTGTTATTTTCATGATGCTAGGCAGATTTTGCAGGCATGCTACCAAGAGAGTTTGCCTGCTGAAAGCCAGCATGGATCCTTTAAATATTTATCCTACATATATTTTTCCAACAGATACATGCAGATTTTCTTCTTGCTTTGTTTAAGAAGATGGCTGAACTATTATTAAATACAGGTAATGAGAGTTCAATAGCATCCAGGCCCACACCCATCCTGGAAGAAAGTGAGCATGTGGTTACACTTTGATTACAAAAGCCAGCATGAAATTGTCAACAACTTAGGTACTAGGGGTGTACAATTAATGAAATATCTGCCAAAAAAATATTTGCAATGATCAGGAGATGTGCCTTTACCTAAATGAGAAGTGGGATTGTGCCTGTTGAAGGTTAAAGAATTTAATTGTACTCCGTTGTCTGTATTTACTTGGAGTATTTTTCCTCATAATTTATATGTGTGAATATAAATTATGTTGATGCTTACAGAGTACTTTCTGTGAGAGAAAAGTATCATTATCTCCCTTTTAACATGTGAAGAAAACTGGGTTACCCAACTGAGGTTTTTGTGTTCTTGCTGCATACTTCCACAGATCCATCAGCGAAAATATCACTAATGATCCAACTTTTAATTTCACAGATGAAGGAACTTGGTGTCATCGTATACAACTGTAGCTGCCTGGTCCTGGATTTACAAAGGATATTTGCCCTCTATAGCTCACTAAGGTATAAGAATAAAATTCCTCCGAGTTGGTCTAAGAGACTCTATGGAGTATACGATACTCAAAATAAACTGACGCTGCAGCTGAATGAGACAAAATCAGAAGCTTTTGTGTCGGTAAGTTCTGAAATGAGTTTCAGGAGTGGGGGGTGAAGGGAAGAAATGTACTTAACCTGCAAGATCTTTGAAAGACCTGGAAATTTGAAAAATCCCATTTTTTAAAAAAATTCTGTTTTCTATAACATGCAGTTTGCCAGGGCTTTAGATGCTGCAGGATTTCATTTGAGCAGTATTCAGTTTCCCTTTCTCTGCACTGTTCAACACTTTTCCAGACATGTCCAGAAAACAATATAGAGACTCTTCAAATTAAATTCATTTATTTATACTAATAGGTAGAATGTGAATGACTTGGGTGTAAATTAACCATTAATCAGACATAGAAAATTATACATAATAAGCAGAGCTTGCATTTTTATCAATGTAATTTATAAGGATTCACCCTATTGCAAAGCATTCATACTTCTGTACAAGATCATCTACTTCAGCTTTATTTTTAAATGACATTTCAAGACTTCTAAAATCAAAGCAGTGATCCCCATGCACTGTCTGTGCATGTATTTTTAATGGAAAGAAACTGAGGCCTCCATCTCATCAGTGATGTAGCAAAACTGGAAATGTACCCAGTGAGATAGAGATGATGGAAGATGTGGAATGTCATTAATTTTGGGTGTAATTACGTGAGTGTAAACCACCCCTTCAAAATCAGGAATATAAATAAAGTTGCTGAGAGTAATTTTCCATTCTCTATAAAACAGGGCAAAACCACCATTGCTTTATAGCCATGTTATGTCTAAAACAACATAACACACATAGCCCACTGTTAAGTTGTACAGACACTGGCATCAGACAGTGCAGATGAGTGGTCACACAGGGCAGGGTTCCCCTTTACCTGCTGGGCACCAGACAGTGTTCTGCTGTCCAGGATTTCTCCTACTACTACAATCAGTGGACAGACAGAGAACTATTTTGGAGTGAAAGTGTGGAAGTGCCTAAGACGGCCAGAATAAATCATGGTTTGATATAATGGACACCTCCATTGATTCTGGAGAATCTTAAGGACTAGCTTAAATGAGAGACAGTTTGCTAAAGCACTGTGAAATGAAATCCTACTCCTTTACAAGAAATCTGTAAGAAGTGGAGAAATCCTGCTGAAAATTGATCCTGGAGGGGAACACAGAATAGAAAGCTGGTTAAGCCCAGTTTAAGGAATCTGGGAAGGAATCTAACTTGTTTTTCAGTTTGCAGAGTGTTTCCTGCCTGTCTGTGATTTTTTTCCTTTCCTGTGGGCAAGGAAGCCTCTTCTCTTGGTATTTCACTTCAGAAAACAAAAGGAAGAACTCAGTGATAGTCAGAAGCTTGGATCACTGAAGTCCAACTCCAAGAGCTACCTGAATTTGTATCCTCTTGTAACCACTGGGGCTCGTTCTTCCTTCTGAAAAACAGGCTCTTCAATAAATTTCTCACCCACTAGAAAATTCTTGGTGTTTGCCAGCAGGCCCCTCTGAAGTGCAAGTCCTGGAGTTGCTTGGGACTGACTTGGCCAGAGTGTTAATGCTGCTGTGTGTTCCTGAGCTAATGATCAGAAGGAAGTTCCCAGGAGCCAGGCAGTTCCCGTGCTGCCCTGGCAGTCCTGCCTGAGGCAGAGACAGGCTGCTACCTCACTGTGGGTTTGGGATAGCACAGCCCCGAGCAGGGACATGGAAAGCTGCTGTTCCCAGCCAGAATAAAGGCCTGGTCTGGTAGGTGAAGAGGAGGACTAAGTGGGTGCTTGATCAGAATAGCAAGTGCTACACAACATGGAGACAAGTCCTAAGCCAGTCTGTGGCTGCAGGGCAGGCATCAGCTGTGCCACAGAGTAACTGGTGGAATGCCAAAGCACAGTGCACAGTGAGAGTTTTTACTGAGATTTTTCTCCTCATTATCTTCAGGAAGTCGTTCACTTTCAGATATTTGTATGGAACACATCCGAAGAAGACAAGTGCATGACAATTTCTTTCTTCAGCTGTTCTGTAACTTTGAAGTTCAAGAAAATAATACAAGCGTTAAGAATAACATCTCAGAGCAATAACCTCCAAAAAGTTTCAGATAATAGAAATAAGTTATACTTAATATTTTAACCGTATTTAAATCCTTTTACACTTTTTTCTTGAGTTGAAATTAATTTTTTTAAAACTTATTTCAATGTTTGTGCTATATAAAACAAGCAAAATACACAGTTATTGAATTTTTTTTATTATACTTGGGAATTATAGCTTAGTGTTACTTAGCAACAAACTCATCTTCCAGCCTGGATAAAATGTAAGAGGTTTTGGTTTTTTAGGGTTCAGGAATGCATCTAGAATATTGGTATTGAAATCTTGCTGTGGTTAATTTTCTAGTATTTTCTGTACTTAGTTGAAATAAATCCTTAAGAACACCAGTTAGTAATAAGAAACCACTGTGACAGGCAGTATACTGAAATTAAGGAAGACTAATAAAACCCCTGGGATCTTTCCCTAAAGATGCCAAACTGGATGTCAGCTGCAACCCAAGCAGGTAATGAAGGTGAGAAGGTGTTACAGTGGCAGGAAAACACCTCTTCCAGCTGGGTTAAAGTGCCTTCGACAACCTCTGTCCCAGGAATGAAGTTGTTGCCAGCAAGCAACTTGAAAGGGGGGTTCACTTTTCTCTCCCTGCTTGTGCAGCAGAGTAGAAAGTTCTGGGCACATCTGCCACAGATGAGCAATTTCCACTGGCTTCACCTGGCCTTTGACAGCCCCAGACAGAAGGCAGAAAAGCTGCAATCTGGGCTGGTACCAGCTCTGTACTGGGAAATTCATACCTGAAGCTTTATTTTAAAGATAAGTTTATTGCAAAACTGCAGCATCTCCCTGCAACTGACATAAAACAATTCCTGCTCACAAGTGAAGGATCAGACTCATGTGGCAAGAACATACGAACACTCCATGCAATGGAAAGCAGTCCTGGGGCTCTTTGGAACAAAATTCTCTGAAATGTAATTTCAGTTACAGCTTCTTTCATGACAGTGGATGTTTTTAAGTCTGTGTCTTTTGCATTTTACCCACAGTTACACCTAAATGGTGAGTTTTTGAGGGTTAAATAAGCCAGTAACTTGCCTTTCTAGCTTTGAGTATTCTAGCAGGACAGCTGAAAGTATTAGTTAATAATCTCTGCTAAAATAATGGATACTGCTTCTCATCTCAAGATAACTGAGGGTAGGAGAAAATAAATGGTTTTTAATGCCATATTTGAACTCTTCCTTTCACAGAACTCACCTAAACTCTTCTGCCCCAAGGACAGAGTCCTGGATATTGAAGCTATCTACAGTGTTATTGATGATGCCAAACAGTTTGTGTACATTGCTGTCATGGACTACTTGCCCATTGTGATCGACACCAATGCTAAACGGTGAGTGTCCAGGTCCAAGCCCAGCTGCTTACCATAATGCCAGTAGGGTGTGCTGGAGAAAATGAACCCACAGGAGGTTACTTACTACTGTGCACTGATTTCTTGGGGCCCAATTCTGCTCTTATTGAAATCAGTGAGAGTCCTGCCATTGACTTAAATGGGAGCAGAATTGGGACCTAAGAGGACATCCAGTTCTGGGTCCTAAGCTTTGGATCTGCCTGCTGAAAGAGATCAGAAATTGTCTAGTCTGACAATCTGCATGTGACTGGGACTCAGGAATATAACAGTCTGCTTATATATGAGTCCTGTTTTTTACACTATTAAATTGACTATTGTGAGACCGCAACTACTGGCATTTTATGAGTATCATGCAGATATTCAACATGACAGAGTGTGTGGGTGTGTTAAGAGAGAATTAATGTGTTATGACTTGTCTATAGTGTAGGAAATATCATTATCTTACTGGCATACACATATAAATGAAAATTCCCAGTTCAGAATAGATCACATTTGAATAATATCACAATTCAGTTAACTGAGAGGTGCTAAAATCAGACAAAACCACATAATTTTTGAACAGCCCGTTTGTATGGACCATTAAAAAGCACTTATGGGCCCAACACTGGAGCCAGAGTGCATCAAAACCATACAGCTCAGGAGCCAAGTATACACTGGGCCCTCTTACTCTTGATAATGTTCACAATTAATTTAGAATCTAGCAAAGCATGCTGTTCCATCTATGTATTTTATTTGAACACAGTTAAGCCAAATTAAGCATGTAGTCTTTTCTACTTAGAGCTCTTCTGTTCAAATTTTTCAAAAAATAATTATCATATCACTGATATCAATCATAAATTCTTTTAAGTCTGTGAGTGAGAGTTTTTCCAATAAACTCATTATGTACAGCCTCCATCAAAGGAAAAGAATCATGGGCACTGCTGTAGGAACCTCAGTTTCATGATATATATCCCTCCTTTATGTTGGAAAGCAGCTTAGCATGTAGAACCACTGCAGTATGTTACCTCCTATACTTCTCCTTACTTTATTCTCATGGTGGAAGAATTCAGAAATCTACTGGATTAGGGAGATGCAGGGAAGCCACCTGGGTGAATTCTTCAACGCTTTTCCTTCACCATGGCTTTGTGTTTGAGGAATTTACTTTGCCAGCTCCCAGTACATGCTTCTAAGTTATTTTCTGGCATGGTAGAGTTCAGATTTCATTAGTCCAGATGTTTTGATGCTGCTGGAATGTAGAAAACATGTATGTTTTCTTGTTTAATTCTCCCTGCCCTGACCTGCTCCCACCAAATGTCAGGAATACAAAGCTAACTGTCAATTGTGAGACTAGCACCATGGAAGCCACCATTCCCTTTCTGCCAGAATTTCTGCAATCCTCATCACACAGCATCCTCTGTAAGCAACCCCTCTCATCTGCTGCTCCTGAAGGATGCAGGCACCCTGCACAGCAGCTCTGTTTCCCAAGGAGAAATGAAAGAAGCATTCCAGTCCCCAGGCTGCGGGGTCCCAGTGCGTAGGGGCTAAAGAAGGGATGCCAGGCGGGGAGGACGCGGTGTCCCAGCTCCCTGACCTGTGCCACCCGTGCGGCCGTGGCCGGGCTGGCCAGCAGCGCCCTCTGCTGCGCCTCTCGGGCACGGCACCGCCTCTCCCAAATTTTTAAAGTTTTCTGCAAATATTATCTTATTTCTCCACAGGTACTGGCCATATTTAGATGGGAAGATAAGAGAAGCATTAGTATTACGAAGTATTAAAGTACGGCTTCTTATAAGTTTCTCAAGAGACACAGATCCCCTTACTTTTAACTTTGTTTCATCTCTGAAAGCTATTTGCACTGAAGTCCCAAGCTGTAGTTTGAAAGTTGTAAGTATAATCCATATTGCTTTAAAATACAAGATATTCCCCACTGCCCCCCCCAAAAAATAAAGAAAATAGAACAACTGAGAATTTTTTCTGTCATTATCAAAGTCTTTAAATTCAATTAAATATCAGAAAATGTAAAATATTGAACATAATTTACTTCTAGTAGCAACAGAATTTGAAGTTAAGATAGAAAAATATATTGGTGCCAAAAGGCAGCCAGTGGGATGGACAGCCTGTGCAAAACACCAGATGTGGTCTTCCACAGCAAAACCAACAGAGTGAACTGTAGCCACTGGTCGTGTTTATACTGTGAGGTAAGAATCAACCTGACAGCACAAAAATATTATTTAGTCTACATTCTTGAAACCTTACTGTTAAGATGTGTAACACCTACTTTTTCTTCAGTCAAGTGAAAAATACAAGAAAAAATAATGAAGATTTTGCGTTAAATTCAGACTACAAACGCAAAATTGTGAAGACCAGAAATGCCACTCTGGGGCCACATTAGACATGCAGTATAGGAAAGTGAAAAATAACACACAAATGTATTAGAGAACAGAATGTATGGTAAGTGCTACTTCCAGTGTGACACACTTCACTTTTAGGAAGTTGAGGCACACTGGAAATCAGTCACCTTGAATCTTGATGGGGATGGGGGGGAGGGGTGTTTATTTGGTTTGGTTTTGTTTTTTTCAGGTACAGTTCTAAATAATCTGATGAATTATTTTTATTTCCTAAATTGATAATCCCATAAATCCTTCTGACTTTTTGAAAATTGACAACAATTCTTAAAAAGGAGTACTGTTTCTTATACACACAATAAGTGGTATTATGCATATCTAGAAATAGGGCATTTTGTTATAAGGTATGTTATTATAAGTTACCTCAGTAAAAAGGCAGCATAAATTGTGGATTTAAGTTAAAAAACCCCACACATAGCTGACTCTGTGTAAACCACCTCAATTTTAAGTAACTTCTAGCTTGTTCCATATTTATCATCAAAATTCTATTTATGCAGTCGACATTTTTTGCAAGTGGTACCTAATACTTATTCAATTGCCTTCTATTTACAGCAGGTAAAATCTTTTGTACAGAATTTATCTTGTCAAGAACTAAATGATAAAAGGAAAAAAACCTACTCCTAAACATCTCTTCTAGGTAAATAGTCCAGCTAGAGTATCTGCAGATAGAAAATACAAAAACAATTTTCAGTAAAAAAATCAGCTGTAGAGAATTGTAAAGGGACAACACTAAGTCAGTTACCTCTGTGCTGTGCATCACGTATCCCAGTCTGGGTGAACCACTACCCTAAATAAGCCTTGGTATGAGAAACAGCCCAAGGGTCAGAGTTTGCTGGTGTCAATTTGATTTTGGCTGAAAACTGTGCCATAGGCTCCATCTCAATACTCTTTTTAATTGAAAAAGCATGGCAGATGAGCAACTTTTTTTTAAAGCTGCATTTCTTCTGTATTAATCTGTTATAGCCAGGATCAAAGTGAAACAAAACTATGTGTGTGTATGGAGGTGAAAGAACAGGTTAAAAAAGCAAAAAACTAAATTACCTTTTGAACTATTGAAAGCACTCCTTTTCCCTCTTGGTTTTGCTTTGGCTATGAGAAAACATAAACTAACCTCAGTACAAAAAATACTGTCTTGCAGACATGTATTGTGTGTGTTTATGTGCAAAACCACTGAAATTTTAAGAGAAACGTGTTACAAATTCTGATTGAAATGACACTTAAAATTGCTAGGCTGCTGTAATACCTCCATCTGGTTCTGACCAAAATGCCATACACGCCTGCACTACATGACCTCCTATCCCCATGTTGTTCTGTTCTTTTGGGGATAATATATCCTACAAAGCATACTCAGTAAAGTCTTATTTTCCATTTAACTTTTGATCCTTGTGATATGCCTTGCCTTGATTATGTTGGGTTTTTTTGTTTTTGTTTTGTTTGTTTTTGTTTTGTTTGTTTGTTTTTTCCCCTTATCCCTATTGGAAAGACCAGTTTGGCTTGAAAATTTCCAGTGAGTGCCAATGGCTGGCTGTAGCTGCAGGGTGCACTGGTTTGCCAATGGTCATCTTGGAGAAGGAGATGCAGATCTAATTTCTCTGTTGGATGGGAATCTCCTCCTGGTTGCTCCAGGTCTCTGACCAAGCTAATGCAAGTTTTGGATTGCCTTACTGCAACTATAGAGTTAGGGCAATGCAACCCTGTTACACCTGGCATTTTCAGCAACTCAGAGTCCCATTCACAGAAGCATTAATAATTACTGGCTTCAACTGAAACTGTTTTGAGAATGCAAACTCAACACAAGTACTGTGAAGAAAATGATCACTGGAGGAACTTGCACCTAGAAAGCTTTGTTGGAGGACTAACTAAATGCTATAAGCACACAGCCAAAGGACAAGGAGTAGCCTGAATACCAAACTCCTGCTGAAGTGGGGAGTTCTGTCCTATGCACACATGGTCATGAAATTAAATCTTGAATCAGAAAGGGCAGAATCAAGGTGAAGAGCTCACCATTGTGCTTCTTGGAACCTTAATTCCTGCATTCCTTAAGTTTTGTGTTCTTGGCCCTGAAAATCCATCCTGTGTGTGTGAATGCCTGCTCTAAACTCTCAAAGGAGCAGCAGGAAGGAGCCAGCTCTGTTGGGTGCAGTACTGAACAGAGAAAGGTGTGTGCTTTGAAAGAGCCCACAGAAATTATGACCTAGAACAAAATTGCCTGTAGACAACTGGGAAACACAAAGGAGTGGCAAGGAACATCTGTATACAGCCAAGTTATTCTTGAATGCCCATATTAATCTATTTTTGAGTTATGCAGGTGTATTCTTGCTCATTTTTGTTTGTTACTGATCAGACGAGGGGTGCATATAGCTTTAAAATTATAAATAAATAAATAAATAAACAAATCTTGCTCATACTTCACTTTCCAGGGTAAAACATTTTCCTCTTGTTGCCTGGAAAATTTGATCTCTTTATACTAAATTTAATCTTGAGAAGCTTCTAAGTTTCTGAAATGGCAAGTTTCCTGTTGGAAACTATGCAATGTGTGATTGTAGAGGTATTAATTCAGCTGTTGCTGTGTCTGCCAATCCCAATGCTGAAGCAAGACTTCAAACCCCAGTGTCCCTTGAAAAATGAGGAAATGAGTTAAAGGAAAGTTTCTGGCTCTTACCATGGAGAACAGAAACATGGGGCTTTTCTTGTTCATTTTACAGCCTTTACTACCTGGCACTGTATTGCTTTTAGCATGCAGTAGCCGTATATTTTGTATAGTTCAGAATGCCAAAGCAGGAATATCGCAAACTATGCAAATTTAATTAGAAATACAATGTGCAGCATTTTATTGAAGTTAATGCTTGGCAATAAGCTGTTCTGTAGTACCAACTAATTTCCAATAAAGATTAGAGAACAGACTGTATTTTTTCTGTCTCTTAAAGAGCAATTCTCATTAACCTGTGCTTCCTTCTATTTTATGGCAGAAATTCTTTGACTTGGAGGAAGAGAGTGCCTGCTTTCTTAAAGAACAGAAGAACACTTCCCTTCCCAAATTGAATCGTAACAAATACATGGTGACTGACGGAGCTGCGTATATTGGTAAGTTACTGCATCTCAAGACATTCTAGTTTGTATCCAGAAGCCTGAAATAACCTTTTGTAGATGAGCAATCTACAGCTGGTATGTTCTTTAAGTGAAGATAATAGTTCATTTCTTTGGGAACCTGGATGATGACTGAACTTTGAGACTCTTCTCATTCAAAACCTTTTCTTCCCTTCTGAATCAGTTTCTCAAGACCAAGATTCTGCTTTCAGTATCCTAACACAGACTGAAAGCACAAATAGAACACAATTTATGAAGCAGGTATAATTATTAGCATATTCTCTTGTTTTGCAATCCCATGAGGATGGAGTGTTCTCCTTTCCCTATGTTATTACTAAAGCTGTAGTCAGTCCTGGCAAATACTACACAGATGAAGATCATCCTCATCATCCAAAACCTTACTCTATTTACCATAATGACATTTCAGACACCCTCCTAAGATTAGGTACATATCTAACTGGTATTTTGGGCTAAAAGTGTATTTAAGTAAAATTACTGTGTGACACCCTACAAAAGTTTTTAGTTTTTTTACTTTTACTTGAAAGCAGAGGAAAAATTGTCCCATGTGGTGAGGTTTCAATCTACCATCATTGGTAACTTTAGAATTCTTAACATTTCCTGCTGAAGTAACAGCCTTGTTTGTCCAAAATACTGCATGTGTTTTAAGTGTATAATTTAAAATACTTACAGTTTTAATGGAATTAAAAAAGAGGTAGCTGAAGCACTTAATTTACCTGTTTTCCATTAGTCCAATTAACCTTTTTGTCCTGCTATCCCCAGAATTCAAAGTGCTTGACCATAGATTTCCACAAAGATTGTAATAACTGGCATAAACCAGTAAAATCTATTTTTCTTTCCTCAAATATTATCTGTCAGCAGGTAAGTTGTAAAATATCTACTGGTTTGGAACTCTGAATTGTTTATACAGCAAAACAAAAAAAGAATATTCATAGCACTGAAAAGGCCAGTGAGGAAAGTAAATTGAGTAATAATGTAATAGATGTAAACGGAAAAACAAATTAGTTTTGAAGAAATAGAATAACCTGTTTTCACTTCTGAAAACTTAGAGATGTTAAAACTTCCAGAAACAATCTTCACTACACATGGTATGTATTGGAGCTTTTTTCCCTGCTGGTATTTAAAAAAACCAACTTATTTCCATCTCTGCACTGGGGAAAATAGTAGTGTTTCATCTGGATTGCCTTTAGGGAGACTGGTTTTCTATTGGTTCTTTTGTTAATGTTAGAAACTCACTGTTTATTCCTGCCTTTGCTTGCAGGTAATTTTGATTGGGTAGGAAATGCTTTTACGCAGAATGCTGGAGCTGGCCTTGTTATCAACCAAGCAGACGCGGGGAACAGCACAAGCATCATTAAGCAACTCAAGGCTGTTTTTGAAAGGGACTGGTATTCACATTATGCCAAAAGTTTACAACCAACAAAAATCCCAAACTGCTTTAACCACAAACTCAATAAAGGAACTTCAAATAAGACTTCCATGAGCAATGTGAATTAGAAAGACTATTTTACCATTTAGTATGGCAATGAAGAGTTATGTTGGGGTGTAGCGTTCTTTCATATTTACAGACAAAAGACTTAAAGAAAAAGCAAAAAAAAAAAAAAAAGTTTGGTTTGGGGGGGTGTTTTTAGGAAAAAGCACACTTACATTAAATCTGTCTAACCTATATTCTCTATATGAATTATTTAAGACTTTCAAATTTGTTACTTCTGACACTGAATGTCATTTCCACTTCCATGTAAATTTTAATGTTCCACTTTTGAATTTATCAGCATGTGTCAGTGTTTCTGTTTTAGAACTTTCCCCAATTGCCAACCTAGCTAGAGCAAACCTTGAGGCAAAATGAAGATTCAAGCTATGAAATGACATTCTAAGATCACTTATTGACATACAGATAGATGGTAGGTTTACTGTAGGAGAAAATGTAAACAAATAAGCAAAGTTTCACCCACATATATAATTCCCATTGAATAACTACCCTGTCATAAAAATACTTACTGGTTTTGAGTATTTACTTTGAGTATCACTATTCCATGTCTTCTAAGTAGCCTTAAAATACATTGGAGTTATTACAGGACTGGTAGTTCTTTCATCTCCTAACAGTATGAGAAATTGAGGGGTTGGAGTTGGCCTCATCAAGTTTGTGGTATTTCCTAAAGTGTCTCAGATTTTTTATCGAAGTACTGTGGACTCCTTTCAACAGAATAGTTATTTCTAGTTACATGCATTTTATCTAACAGTGAAAATCTCTGGGTTAATAGCTAAAACCTAGAACTGATTTTTTTATGTTTTTGTAATCTAAAAAAAATTTCTCACCCAAGTTAAATATGAGAGTCAGCAGATATATGTGATGACTCATTCTTAACCAATGCACATCTCAAAATCAAATACTGCTTTTTAGAAAGGCCAAGGGTTATGCAAAATCGTGCAATAATTGTTGTTAAATGATCATACAGTAATGTTGTTGATTTTTACACCTGAAGAATTTGCTTTCCTAACTTCTACTTTAAAAAGAAATAAAAATTGTGAAGTGACATTTTTTTGTTAAAATGTCATCCATATAGGTACATACACCTTCATGGACAGAAAGTGATGCTTTCATTTAGACCATAGTTTTAGTTGGTGTCAAAAGTGTGCCTCTACAATCACAACTTAGTTGCACCAAGAAGCAACTGTTCTATAGAAGTACAAATTTACTCTTTGAAGAAATACACACAAATGTTCGATGACTGATTTTTCTCCAGACAGAGATGTAATAGCATAGTTTCATAATAAAAATGTTTCATTACTATGCCTCTGCTTCCTTCGAAGAAACACAGCCATGAAAGCAAACTGCATTTTGCATTTCATTAAATATTCACAGAACCTTCTCCAAAATGATGACTTTTCTTCTCATCTTCTGAAGGCACACTTCAAAAGCAGAGGGCAAAAAAGAGAAAGAAACCCAACTACATTCCAATGTATTAATTTAATCTTAAAAAGAAGTTAAAAATCCACCTTGACTTTCAAAAGGTACCTTTTACTTATAGGGTAAAAACATTCGAACTTATTTCACAGTGAGCACAGTTTAGGAAATTTTAACAAATTAGCATATTCACAACTTCAAATTGTCAGCTTAGAGATACCACACAAGACTAATTATGACCCCAGAAGGCACACTTTTGACAAAGAATTTTCATTTATTTTGCAATTGCAAATATTTACATCATCTTACTGAAAATTATTATGATTAATCAGAAAAACTTTTAAGATTTTCATCTTCTACAGAAAATATTTTGCACAGCTCCAATAATCAATAACATTTTTTAATATTCAGATAAACACATGCCATTTATTAGCCTCACACACACATAGAAAAGCATATACTCTGACATACTGTTAAGAAACAAGTATTTTAAAAGCAAAAGTTTTCCTGTGTTGCTATAAAAAAAGATCTTTGTGAGGAGAAATTTCTGGATTTTCTTCTGTATTTCAGTATGTATAGCATAGCATGTATGGGAGAGAGATTCCCAGCACTTAGCTTACTTGCTTGAATTTTTTTGTTTTGTTAAAGAAATGAATATTAGTCCAGATCAATTATTGGTGAAAATTTCAGCTGAGTTATACCACCAATAACTTTAGTCTTGTGAGCCAAAAACCCACAAAATGAACAAACAAAAAGCCCATCACATTTTTAAAAGCTGGTTGAGATGGTTTTACAGTTTCTGAGGTCCCTATGGATAAGTGATCTTAAAGTTTGAGATAAACTTAATACCACATGACCTTACATAAAACACAAAATAATTTATGCAAACAAACAAACAAACAAAAAAAAACAACAAACAACTGCCTGGAGTTGTTAATTGTAGCACCTAATGGCAATAATATACAGTAATCAGTCAATGCAGGGTTTTTTTTTTCCCTCTTGCATTATGGATACTGCAAATGTGTTACATTTTTTAAAAGACATCATATATAAAAAATGGAGGATCTGAGTGGAACACAAGTTTGTCAGATGATAAAGCTAAGTTGTTTACAAAGCAGGATTTAGTGATTAAATGAGACTGACCACTGACTGATTTAGTATAACAAATGAATGGTAAAATAGTTATATTGGACAGAACCTAGGAAAATGCAGATCATGAATACTAACAAGATCTGTTAGTTTGCAAATATTTACTTATTGGCTAGATAAACAGATTCTTGGTGCTTCAATTATCCCCCCTCAAAGAGCAGATACTTTAATGTATTTTTTAAAAGTAGCAGTATGTTTTGGTTTTATGAATGGAAGAACTTGGGTGGTTTTGAACAACTTTCAATGCAAAATACTGCCCAGCCATCCTATAAATGGAATGGCAGACTCAAATTTCATTTGGTATAAAGTACAGATCAATGCTGTAATAACTATTTAGAATGGCGTCAGCTCCAAAGTAGTACATAAGGCCTTGACCTATTACATTAGCCAAAAGACAAAATGCGTCCTTGAACTTCAGCAAATGGGAAATTTAAAATGCCAGATTATTTTTTGAAACTGTCTAAGGGGATTAACGCCAATTATTTGGCCTAGGCCAGTGCTGTTGCTGTTTAACTAGATTTGCTAAAACAGCCTCAATTTTGGCTTCAGGTCCTTCTACCACTGTAATAGATCAGAAGCAAATCCATAGCTGATTTCACACTAGTTTAGCAGGGATCAGAATCTAAACTAGTTTCCTCTTGCTTCCAGTCTCCTGAGTATCACTACTGCACAGGCTATTTCCTAATTTAACAGGGATTTGCATTCAGGGGTTTCTCACAGACCTCACAGGCATAACCCAAAAGATGCACTTTCTCTAGGTCCTTCTAACTGGCATTGGTAACTCTGTCATATTAAAGGCGATTTCCTAAACAGAACGGTTTTATTCTTAAAGCATATAGACTATACTTGTTATTTGCTGCAAACATTTACTAGTGCCTTATTCATACAAGTTTTTGTTTAACTGTTCCTCAGATTAAGTCCTGCTAAAAATCTTGTATCTAGTACAGAGGCATAGAGCAAACTTCCTAAGTAAGAAGACATTGTGATGTTTACAGTTTAGTACCTAAAACTAGAGTCACAAAAAGACAAAAACTGACTGCAAGATGTTGGTCCAAACCACAAACACATTTTTATCCAATCCCAGTTCAAGAACTAAATTTCACAATTTACTCCTGGCTTCATTATCAAATGTCCTGCCAAGGTATAAAATCTGAATTCCCCCAAAATCTGGCTCCTATCAAAACCATAATCACAGAAATTCCTGTAGCACAGGTTGAAGTCCAAATATCATGCAGTGGCTACTTTACAAATCTTGCCTGTTAAGTCTCAAGTTGTTTCAGGCCAGCTACTTTTTCTGCCTGAAGCATGAACTAGTATCCACAGCTACTCTCACCTCTTTTTTGAAGACCAGAAAGGTATGGATTATGTGCTACAGCACAATGGCTGTTCCCTAACAGGAACAGATTTAGGATTTACCCAATGTGGGGCCACGTATTCCTTCCAATAAATCCAGGCTGTGCTGGTGGCTCAGAAGAGAGTTTGAGAAACAAGTAGAAAAGCCTCCAAATTCTATTTTAAGACCTACATATTATTTGCTATAATACCAGCTACCTAAATTCTACTACATTTTTGAGATTTGTGCAAATAAAAACTGTTACCTGCCAGTTAACCCTGATCTAAGAAAAAATCCAGACAATTTATTGGGTTTTTTTGTGACTTTAGCATGTACTTACTGGAAGGAGTGTACGCACTCTCATCAAGATGGTAAAGACATCAGCGGGCTCTTCCAGTTCTTCAGTCTGAAGTTGTAAATATTCCCGTCTCAGATGATTATACACTTGACTCCTGAGAATGGCTTTATAGAGAGCACTAAGTATCTTCAAATCTTTCCAGTCTTCAAAATTAACTCTTCACTTTAATACAAATATACTGACTAAATGTTTAGTATGTTTCCAGATGGTAATTTCTGGTGCTGTGTTTTTCTTCCACTCTTACCCTTTCTCTATCTATATCATATATTCATGGGTTTTCAGTCATTCAGTGTTTAAAATTCACAATGATGCCTCCCGAGTTGAAGGTACAATTTCTAACACTGCTCCACTTCTAACACTGCAAGGTATAGCAGCTCAACTGATACTGTAGGAGATCGATTTTCTTAGCTGTAGTTTTTCACTTTAATTACTGCTGGATGTTATTTATGATTTTCTCAGTATTGAATCAGGTTGCTCTTGGATCATCACTTTGCACAAATGCCTTAGAAGCTTGCCAAACTAGCATGTAAAAGAGACCTCATTCAAAATAGTTTAGACAGGAAAAGAAGAACTCATGTGCTTTACACTCTGAAGAGTGCTGAAGTCAATGGATAAACTCCAGTCCTATAATAAAGTGGAGCTTTCTATTGTACCTCTTGTTTAGATTAATCCTGCATGGGCTTCCAAAAGTCTGTGAGAATTGTTTGTTTGGAATACCTTGTGATCAGGAATTTACAGAGAATCTGAAAATAATCCAGCTGTATTGAGTGGTTCAACACAGTAACTTAAAATGGGTTTTCATGAAAACACATTCATATTACATATCCATGTGATACAACTGCATTAACATGCTAATGTCAGGTTTTCTCTACAGTTCAAAAACATGTAGGACAAAAATCAAGCTACTGCAGCCTATTTCTGAAAATATTGTTAAAAATAGATTTTAAGAACATACTTCAATTCTGGCTGCAAATTATTCTGCTATAGTAATGTAATCAGCTCTATTTTGTTCACAACAAATTCTACACTGCGATTTTATAGGAAGACTCAATAACTTTTTAACCCTATAAAATAACCATGATCATTCTCCTTTTAATAACAGAAAGAAGGTTGATGGCCAATTCAGGCTACAGAACATAATGAAATATAATAAAATGGCTGGCAACTGCAGCATTCCAGAGGATTATTTTAGGTTATTATATGTTGCATGGCCACAAACATGAACAGTATGAACTACATGTATCACAATGGTGTTGCATGAACAAATGGTGGACATTGAATCTCACACAGTAAAATCCATCCCTCTTGTAACAGCATAAAATGTAAGGATAGAGAGGAAGGGGCAAAAAGAGCCAGAGGCAAACTTGGATCAGCTTGAGTTAATGGACTGGATGTTGACATAAAAGCTCTGGACTACATTTTTATTTTGTTCCTCTCTCTGCAAAATCCTGTGTTTCCTATACATCCTCCTTGCTCATCTTTATGAGTGAACTCCCATGATTGTTTTTAGAATGAAGAAGGAACCTTTAACAACTACGAACTTATGCTTAACAGAAAGAAATTAGCATGAATAAAAGTCCATTGATTTCTGTTTAACAGGTACCAAGTAGTAAAGCACTATTTGAAATGGGACTCCTTGGACATTAGAAGTTTCTAGTGTAATATAAGCAAAAATTGACAACATAGCAAGATGCCTGCAAATTTCCCATCACACACAGCATTTGCTTGTGATTTGTTTGTTCTCTCAATGTACAGATAGTTATCAGACAGATACCATTCTGAACTACTTATAAACTGGTGAAAACTAAGCACAAGTATCAGGCAATCCAGCTTGACACACTCAAATGAGGAAAAGGAATCCTCCCAGAAGAGCTAACTGTATAAAGTTTATAAGTCACATAGAAGCTAGAATTATTTTCCAATCTAACTTTGAGGGACATAATGGGGGTTTTAATGGGGAAAGAATCTTTCTATTAAAGATTGAAGGCATGCACTGTTATATGTAGTGTCTAAGCAAAACAGCATGTAAAAAGTAAAAGGAGAAGCTCTTCAAATGGAATTATGTAGACCAACTTTTTGTTGACTGACCTGATAAAAAATATTTGCTAGTAGATTTGCTCAATGTTCAATTAATTCACAATAATATCTTAAATTACTCTGCAAGTATTCCTTATTTGTATTTCTTCAAGTGACACTGTACGTGTATTCAGTGTTTTACTTGAAAATTGACAAAAAAGCAAGATGACTTTGGAAATGATAGCTGTTTCTTTCTCAAGGTCAGAGGACTTCTCATCTAACCTGTTCTCTTATTGTCTCCTACTTCTTCAGCAGCCCAGTCCATGCTTCTATTTGTCATTGCCTGAGTAGCAAAGAAAATGAAGTATTTTTAGTCACCTGCTGTTTTTGAAAACTGCTGGCTGCTCGACGTGTTCTTGCCCTTTGAGAGATCCCTTATCTAATAAGATACTAAAGGTATAATAGAGGACAAGAACATAATTCCAGATGCCTCACATAGTTATTGACCGTGAAAGACACATATGCAAAATCTGGAAAAAGAGATGGAGGACAGGGGTGAGGAGAATGCTTGGCAAGCTTTAAATGAGGTAGAAGTCCTGATGATATAAATACCTCTTCTAGTGAGCTTGCTTTATTCTAGAATAAACCATTCTTTACCACACAGCCAGATTTGCAATGATGGAAATGTGTGGCTAACTTCAGCATGAAATGGTGAGAGGTCAAATGGCCATTGTCTTTATGAATTGAACTAATTTCTTCACTATGTAAGAGAGTTGGAAGAAGCAGGTAACATTCCCTCTTCTGAGGCAACAGACCATGTTGCTACTAGAAATAGAGCTGATAAGGTTTCTAAAAGAAGCAAAGATCTTACTCATCTGAATTCTATTAATTCTCACAAGATGGTGCATCTCTGTGGGAACTTGGTGCTCACAGATTTTGTACCAATTTCTTTGTGGCAAACTGTCCGACTTCTCAGGAGAGCTCCTTTTCCTCCTCACTATGCTCAAGACAGTTGTGACATCTGCTTTTAATAATCTCCATATTCTTCAAAGACATTTCTAAACTAAGCTGTAAGAATTTTCCCTGGGAAAAGGAAAAATGAAGGGCAGGTTCAGCGAAGAATCCAAAGAACCCGGTAAAAATACTAAAATATATAAGAAATCAGGATCAAAACCACAAGGCATTCTCATTTTTGCCAACAAATGACAATTGGGAAGGCAAATGAAAAGCTCATGTGGTACCTCAAATTAATGGGACTGGAATTTATAAACCAAAACTCTTACTTCTATGGACATTTCAGAGAGCATCTGAACTGCTGCTCTCAGTATGCAGAGATGCAGTGAAGAATCAGAGAACTGCTTTGATGTGCTGTACAAAGGTTTCAGCATTCAAAGTCTTATATACATTTCTCAATGTATACAGCTTAAAAGGTAGGCTAAAAAATGGGATTCTGTGTATATTTATACAGATTTTACTGCCAAATAATAATTGAAAACTAGTCACTTCTCACAGCAGTTGTGTCTTCACATGTCACCACAGAGATCTTATTGAATACATCTGGAGAAAGACAGAAAAGCAACATCTGTGACAGCAAGTAAGCCAACCAAAAAAGGCTGCAAGCCCATTTTCCAAATGCTAGTTGATAAAACAAAAGCATTCAGATGCCCCATCCAGCTCAGATTCCAAATATCATTGTATCATATTCCAAATACAGACTTGAGGCTCCTCACACACATACAATCAGAAACATATCCTCAAAGGAAAAATTAGTATCTTTGCTAGAAGAGCTTGAAACATCTCTAGTGTTCCACTTGTCCCACTGCTGTCCCACTCTTAAATAAGGCTGACAGGAAATAGTACAGCTTTCTGGAAAGGGCCACATATCCTTTACTAGAAAATGAAAATATGAACACAAAGAGACTCAAAATAATGAGTTACTGAAGTGGACTCCTGGCTGCAGCAAAGAGGGACATCAGTGTCACCATTTCTGATAGCACACACCAAAGCCATCTACTCATCTTATCATTTCCTCACTGCATGTGGGCCAAAGCTCACTTAAAAAAAAGGCAGTGTTTATCTCTGAATGAAATATTCCAGAGAGGATTATACCTTTCTTTTTTTTTTTTTTTCTTAATAGATAGAACAGCAATCACTGCCCCACCTTTCTTCCCTTTCCATATTCCACTTTGCAAATTAGCAAGTGTTTCCACCATCTCTGCCTCTTTTTTGTTTTCAAACTATTTCCTGAATGCTGTTTCTGAATCCCTTGCTGCTGCTTTGTAAACAAGGATAAATCCCTGCAACTTGCATTGTTGGTGCTGTAACATCCTACAAGGTTACTTCCACTAGCTTTACCTGAAGTGCTCAGAAGAAGGAAGTGCATGCACACACTGTTTAAAGACACACAAATTACTATGTATGAAGACAAGGGAAGTCAGGGCAAAAGCAGCATGCAGGCACTACTGGAAAAATACCTGGACAGGGAAAGGGTTTAAAGTCATACTCCTCAGTCCAATTTCACCTTGGCACACCCAAAACCTGTATCAGGATCTAGAGCTCAGTTTTGCAAACCTTTCACAACTAACACAAGCCTTGTCTCCAGGTATTCTATTTGCTGTTGGCCTGAAGTCACACTCCAGGTTAACCTGCCAAGCTAGGCAATAACAAGCGAGTCAAAACTAAAAACAACTTCAAGCCACATGACCTCGACTTTATCCTGCAGATGGCATTTGGCCACAGAGGGGCTCTAACCTAGGTACTTGTCACCTTGTGACAGTTAAGATGGTCCAAGCTCACCATCATATATAACACCACCACCTTCAAAAGAGAAAATGAAGAAAGATCATCTCTCTGCAAATGTATTTTAAATATCTGAGTGTGACTTTGGCACTGCATTGTATTTCCCAACACAATCTAAAAGTATCAGGAGTCCTGTGTAGAGTTTGCAGAGCAAAAAGGGTATGTACTCTATGTGTCCTACTATACCTCTTCTGATAGAATAAATATCAAATATAAAAATCTGTCTAAACTTATTTTGAAAACTGCATGGCCAGCTTATGCAGTAGCTAGATACATGGCAAGGTTACAGTATTACTCTCTAAGGAGAATACAATTAATATGCGTAATGTATTTTGTTCAGTTCAAGCACTGTGTAGTCTCCAAGTTCTGCTATGAGAAGTATGAATCACTTCTCATTATCCTTCCTATTCCAAAACACAGTATTTATCACAGATGTGTACAATACAGCGGCATAGCTTAGGCCTGTTATATAGGTCAGTATCTGCAATGCACATGAGAATATAGTTTGCCACTGCAAAGGAGAGTGGCTGCAAAATCTATTTTGGATAATCCAATTTATATTTGAAGAAATCAATGTGTGGTAATTTCCAGAACTGTGAATATAAGGCAACTGCTGCATGCTTGTATATTTGATAAGTTTTATTATACTATATCCTTATATGAATGCCTATGCAGTGTAAATGCTTTAATATAAGATACTGAATGGTTTTTTTTACACATTATTTTCTAAACAATGCTACATTTTACTGCATGTTTTTTCATCTTTTTGTGTTGGTAAAAAAGTGCAAGCTGCAAGACACATGCTTTTAATAACTTGCACAGCAGCTATTCAGATCCATTATAAAAACATGTTCTTATGTAAAGACCTAATTTGGCAAGAAATGTGCTTCCTTTAGACAATGGGCTTGGTTCACAGCAATACCTGTGTACTTAATGTTTATTTATTAAAAAAATAAAAACATTATCCCTGAATCTGTAAATTGGGCCATTGAGTCTGCTGGGAGCCACTGTGTTGGTATGCTTTGTACCTTTGAAAATGTAAATCTGCATTTACTAGGAAAACAGACGACCTGTCCTGATGCAAGCTGTAATTGAAAAAATCCAATCCCGAGCAGCCACTGTCTTTGGTGCTGCAGGATGACAATGTAGCAATCTTTTTTTTCCTTTAAACAATACTTAAAGTTTGTACTCATGACTTTAATACCATGAGTTCGTTACTTGATTGTGAACTGGGCCCACTGTTTACTGTATTACTATTCATAACCAAAGTTCAATGCAATTCACAAAATTGATCAAACTCATTTGTTTGGGAGAAAAAAGAAAAGAGACTGATTTTGCTGATGTTTTGGAGAGCTGGCTTGGTACAGAGTGTTGCTTCTGTACCAACACAAATAGTACCAACACAAGGAAATTTTTTTTAGTGCAAGGAAATCACTAAAAGACTGATGGCTAAAAACAGCATTGTGAGTGGTAATAAACTGATGGAAACTAAGTTGTCAATGATCCAAATCAAGGTAGTAATTCATTAATTTAAAGATATGTAAATATTTATTTTAATGCTGCAGCATCAGAGATCATTTTTCATTGCTTTGATATCCAAGGATTCCTAGTACTACACAAACATATTTTATCTGCTCCAGTTTTTAGGTTCAGTACTTTCATTCAAAGCAAAGTAACTCCCATTTCTTTGTACTGCACTGAAATAAAGAATCTTGTTTCAATACATAATGATTTTCTGTTTCTCTCTGGTCTGTTTGTTTCTATGAGCACAAAATCCCAGATATTAGCCCCTACTCTCCAGCTCCCAGTCCACTGTACATACCCACCCCAAAGGCAGACCAGATAACACTGACAGACCGCCTGGTGCCTCCATGCAGGGCTCTGCAGAGCCTGAGCAGCACTGGCACTGGTGCCAGACACTGGGACTTCTTTCCAGGCCACAGGATCCTCTTTCCTAGTAGATTTGCATTAAATTTCTAGTTGGAATCTGGGAAAGCAGGCATTAACCCCAGATTTCTCATTTCTCGGGAGACTCACAGACTCATTGTGATTTTCTGTTGCCAGGACTGCTGTCACATTCTATTAAAACTACAGGAATCCTAACCAAATGAACATATATTACCCTCTGATTTGTATTTGAAAAGCTGCTACCAGATTTAGAATTTACCAAATTCTAAATAATTTGCTCTATGGAGACTCATGTTCCAAGTAGTTTGGAAAGGAGAACACTCAGCAGCAGATAATATTCAAACAAAAAGGTGAAGACTGAGAGGGGATGGAAGGAAGCTGAATTTCTCAAGATAAACACCAGCCTCAGTAGCTTGTGCTTTTTTAAGAGCTGTTTTATGTTGCACCAGGAAGGCAGCTTTTGACTGCACAGGTCCAAGTGGTGTAAGCAATAGCTGCTGCCCTGTGACCCACAGAGTTTCAAATACAACACCTGAACAGGTTTCAGGTACAGCAGGAGTGATGAGGGCAGAACAAGGAGAGAAATCAATTCCCATGAAGAGAAGCTTTACGCTAATTCCCAAACTACCCTGATTTTGGGTATTTTTTTTTTTGACAATAGCAGAGCACCTCACTTTCACATTTTGCATGCTTTTTGCAAGACAATTATTCTACTTTTATTTTAGAGCCCATTTTCATGAAAAATGAAGTATACACTTAACAAAAATATGCATTTAGGAACTCAATATTCTTTTCACATATACAGCTTCACAACAATCATATGAAGCAAGAACAAAATATTAGTCCTGTTTACAGACAATTAGCAACTATAATTGCTTACTAGGCACTGCATCACTACAATTAGTCTGCAAAATACACAAAATTTAAATTCAGCTGCTGACATGTATTTTCATGTTAGATTTCCTTTCCAAATATGCATTTTCTCTGGAAATATGCTTGGAAATGTTCAGATGCATTCCATAAGAAGACAAAAAAATTTGCATCCCAATTGCTGAAAAGAAATCAGCTGCAACATCACAGCTACAGTGCAGCCCATTGCCACTGGATTGATTCATAGAGAAAGAAGGGATTTTATCCTATTCCCTGCCATTGATCACAAAGGATTTGTGCTCCTGTGGAATGAGATGATCATGGTGAAATGGGTGGATCCCCTCTCCATTCACAATCACATGCACTAGAAAGGCCACCTTTCAAGTAAAGCAGACAATGCTTCCTTACAATACTATAATGTTTTTCATAGGATACACCCTTTTCAGACTTGATATCCACCTCCAAGGCAGCACATACATTTTATTAATTAAAGTAGGGCATTGATCCCAAATATGTTGACATCTCCAAGAACTTTACAGTTTCTTACAAAAAAAAGCTCTCCCCTACCCCTTGTTTTTGTTTTTTTTTTTTGTTTACCAATACTCATTTCTCATGGAGTGTCACATGCAATGCTGCACTGAAAGAGCGCAGCAAGTGACAGCACCTGCACCCCAGTAGGAGCATCCCCAAATCAGCTGTGCTATGCTCTTGCTAACCCTTTTGGTGCCAAGTAACAAGAAGTAGAAAAGCCATTTTCTTTCACATATAGGTTTCTTAACAGTACTGCCATGGTTTAACCCCAGCCAGGAGCCAGGCCCCACCCAGCCGCTCACTCACTCCCCCACCAGCAGGGTCATAGAAAGTATGGGAAGGGTAAACACTGGAGAATTTGTGGGTTGAGCTAGAGTTTAAAAGGGAAAGCAAAAGACACACAGGCAAAGCAAAACAGGGAATAAATTCACCAGTTCCTATGGGCAGGCAGGTATTCAGTCATCCCCAGAAGAGCAGGGGCCCATCACAGATAACAGTGACTTGGGAAGACAAATGCCTTTACTGCAAATGTCTCCCTGCTTTCCTCCTCCTTCCCCCCACTTTATATCCTGAGGAGGATGTCATATGGGCTGGAATATTCCTTTGGTCAGCTGGGGTCACCAGTCCCAGCTGTGTCTCCTCCCAACATCCCATGCACACCCAAATTCCTTGTCAGCCATGGCAGCACAGAAAGCAGAAAAGGCCTCAGCTCTATGCAAGCCCTGCTCAACAATAACAGAAACATCTCTATGTTATCAGCCCTGTGTTCAGCACAAGCCAAACCATAGCTCCTGGGAAGAAAATGAACCCAACCCTGGCCAGCACAAGCACGCTCTTTAATGTAGCTGAAGTGCATAACACACTAGTGGTGTGCTGAGACAGACTGTCCCTGGTTAAATAACTCCTTAACAGCCTATACTTGTTGTCCCAGCACAAAACTCCAGCCCACTTGGAGAATTCTGCTGAATGTAACCCAGGTTTTGGATTACTCACTTACTATGTATTATAGACAGAAGAAAAATATTCAGAACAGGGGTTCGGCTCACCGCAAGAAATCTTCCAAATCACTTCATTCCTGCTGCTCCACAACCAATGGTGAAATAGTGTCATCAAAATGATGCACAGGAAGTCTGAAATCAGAGGGCAGAAAAATCGTTGAACAGCAATAACCCACTTTTCAAGCTCCCATGTCTCAATTTTTTCCTCTGAACCAAGTCCTATTCTGAGACAGAGAAGGGATGTCATTCTTCAAACCTTGCACAGCCTGTAGTTTAAAATTCATTCATGATGCTAGAGAACACAAAAGATGAAAGCACAAATCATGGCTCAGTACCAAAGAGTCATGTTCCAGTCCCTACCATGTATCCTTTTTATGGATATAGCCACTAAGGAATCAATATGGCAGTAAGCCTTAGGTAGATTTTACTGCTGGTGTAACATAATATTCCCAAAGACTATGTTCAGCCTGCCAATAGCATGCCAACACATCCCCAGGCTCCCAGAAAGGTCATGTCTTCTATAGCAGAACCATCTCAGTGAGCTCTGTTTTAAAGGCTTATTTAAAACCAAAGGATCAGCACATTTATTTCTGCTCATATTTATACAGAATTTAGAGAGTTGCGATACTGAAAACCTCAGGGATGGCCCTTTCAAAATGGACCCTTGTTGTATTAGAACCACAGCAAATACTTTACAGGTAACCAAAGCAGCAACATCTACATACAGTGATTTTCAAACCAAGAATACTCTCCTGAACCCCTTCAATTAAAAAAAAAAAAAAAAAAACTCATATACAAAAAAAAAAAAAAGATGAGTAAGGCTGTGTCAGCAGCTTAATAAAAAAAAAAAAAAAAACAGGCAATATAGGCTTTTTTCATATAGGCAATGAAAATAGCATCCCAAGCCTGGTCCTCAGATTTAAGTACCAAACTCTCAGCAGAATAATCTTTCAAAAATACCATGTTTTCAATCAGCTGACTTGGAGAAAAACGTTGTTCTAACTCAGTACAGTGGATTCACCCATATCATGGGACACCCAAAATAGATAGAGTGCAGCTTCCTGACCTCTTTAGCTCTGTACATCAGTGCTTGCAAGCAAATGGTGCAGGAGTCAAAGTCTGTACCTCATCACTGATCCATACTCTGACCTAAATGTACAGCAAAAGTCAGTGTTCACACTGAAGGGTGAAATTTATATCAAGGCCTCACATTTCTTTCTGTTACAATACCCTGTCAGAATTAAAGCCTGCACAATGGTTATGGTATATGTATGATGGAGGGAGCTACTTGAGATGCAGCCTTCCTTCTGGTGACTTGATAAAAGTCACTCACACAAGTAAAAATCCTGCAGGTTACAAGGCAAGAAACATTACACTCTAGTGAGTGAGTAATCCAAGAAAATAAGCTGAATTCTACACTGCACCATAGGTGCAAGGGGAATGGCAGGATAACAAATAGGAAAGTGGAAAAAATAACAAAATCTGAGGAAAAAGTCAAAAAGCACTTCTAGGTATTCACTCTGCCATGAGGTTTCAGTCCCAACATGCTTGGAACCCTAAGCCTTCTCCAAGGCTGAAAGCTCCTTAACTAAAATATTTCATGGAATGAGCCAAGTAAGAAACAGGGAACAACATAAACTACTTTTTGAGTATAACCTTACATGCAATTCAACAAAAGATAAAGTAGACTTAAAATTTTGATAAGCATGGAACCCTTTAAAGATTTTGGCTTATCTACCTTTAAGCAGGCAAATGAAAAGTTCAGAACAGCTGCTAAATAGTATGCTTTAGAGGAAAATGTTTTCAAATTATCTGTTTTTCCTGTGGACTTCAGGTAAAAATACATTAGAATTGTCTAAAAATAAAAGAAAAAGGAACAAAATGGTAAGATTATGATCTTTGTTACTTAAAGTCTGTACTGTCAGGAATTCGCATTACTGCCTTTGGCACACTGTGGCCAGACACAGGACATTAATAATAAATGCTAGGACTAGAAATTCAAATGAATTGGAACTTGTTCCATTGCCATTTCTATAAGGAGGAAACAGAAAAGTCAGTTGTCACAAGTTTAATTCATATATCCTACAGAACTGCTTATTTGCAATTCCACTGAGTTTTGTTAGACTGTTTTGCCTTTCATTAGGTTAATGACGTAGGAGAGGGGTTTACTATCATTAGAGCTTCTGGAATGCGTACAGGAATTGAACATGAGTTACATTTACAGCAAAGAAATTAATGAGAGAATCAGGAGCTCCAATCTGGAAGTGAGAAGCATTAATTTAAGCTACTACCCAAGTGATCCCTCTTGGTCTTCCGCCCACCTGATTCTTTGCACCTGCTGTACACAGGAATCTCCTTTAGAATTAAGCAGATTCTGTAACAAAACCAGTACTTGACAAAGGAAGTGCACAGATTCATCCT